CTTATGTTGACTTTAGGGTTGGTCAACATGAGTAATGGAGACCATGGAGGGGTAAAATGGTCTTTTACTCAATTCAAGAGTTAGAGAGAGAAGAATAACATTTGGTTACTTAGATTCGAGAATGGAGTATTAATTAGAGATATTTACCCTATGTGTTAGGCAGTGGCTAGTTCGAGATGCGAGTTGGAGGATGATTGCTTACTGCTTGCTAGGTGAGTCTTCTCATTATACTTTACCTTGAGTGGTATTTATGAGTGACTAGAGGGTCTTATGTGTTTACTTGAGTTATGCATTTTGTTTGTGTGATATATATGCTATGTTATGTGTTATTCAGAGTTTACAGAATTAGGAGCGGAAGGTCCACAAAGTTAGGACCGGAGGGTCCATCAGAGTTGTGGGACTGGAGGGTCCCACTGAGACACATTGATTGGAGGGTCTTTCAGAGTTATAGCCTCAAGTGGTTAATATGGTGTATGTGGTATTTTGGGGAACTCACTAAGCTTCGTGCTTACTGTGTTATGTGTTATGTGTTTTAGGTTTTTATCAGAATCGCGGGAAGGCGTCGGTTTGATTGTACACACCAAAGAAAGAGCTATATTTTGAGGATCCTGGATTTTAACCGAACAATTATGGAGTCTTGAATTGTAAATTTGATAATGAGATTTTTTTGTGAAATGCATTATGAGGATTACATGATTTTAAATGAAAATTTTGTTTTGAAAATTTACGGTGTTGCATTCTAATAGGCATTTGAATGGTCTTGTTATGTTTAATGGATGCAGGTCTTGATGGCGCTTTTTGAGATGAGGAAGACGACCCCGAAAATTATTTCAATCAGGTTATCTTCTCATATATCCCTACGCAAACACAATTTCATATTCACTTGATTTTTAAAGGATTCATTAGACACTGATTCGGGTTGAGATTCACATGGTCTTTATGATTTCTCATATGATTCATTCATGCCCCCATCGTAACCGATTCTATAATTTATCTAATTATCAGATTTTTACAGAATTGTTGACGATTTCTCATCCATACATATTTTTTGCCTCCCATCACAAAAAAATAATTTCTAAATCAATTGGAGTCTTGGAACAATTCTATCATTCTCCAACGAATACGGTATGTAAATCTTTTGTTTGTTTCTAATTTTATAATCTTTATCTGATTATATGATTTTGGTATGTATATTTACCTCTTTGGTTTGACATCTTAATTGAGTTGGATTGAAATAATTTATATTTGTGAATTGAGCCAGGTTGTTTTTTTGTTACTTTCAATTAGTATTTCAAAATTTAGTTTTTTTTTTTCTTTTAATTCTTGAATAATAACTAGTGGCTATGGTGGTTTTTTTAGTAGTTACTTGTGTTATTTAATCATGAATCCAGATAAGAGAATGCTAATTTAGTCTCTTGATCATGAATCCAAATAAGAGAATGCTAATTTAGTCTTTAATCGCTTCTTGTATTGTTTGATGAAAATAAAACTAGGTTGGTTTTTATATGTTTTAAGTCCTATATGTTATTTTGATTAGAGTTTGTTGCTTCTGAATATACTAAAGAATGTGAACAATAGTTATTTTGGGAAGCTTAAAAGAATGCATTTGCATAAACAACACATACATAGCTTAATAGAATAAATGATGTCCCATTAAGTAAAAAAGAATGATGAAGTGATGTTTTGCTTACAAAATCGTTTTGATATTCTCGATTTTTTGGTAAAATTAGTTGGATACTTCTCTGTGACTTTTCAAAGAGATTTATATGATTTGGTATGATAGTATCAAGTAATGAATGGAATGGTTTGTTTTGCTTAAATGAAAAATAAAATTGTTTGTTTTGTGTAATATAATGGAATTGATGATTCTTAAATGGATATGGTGAGTGTTTTATCCGGTTCATCATTACTTTCTGTAATAATTTTTAAGACTTATTTAATTCAGTTTGTCATTACCTTTGGTCACATTTGTTTGAGTGATGTAATGATGTTATGTTTTAGATTCCAACAAGATTCATTGCAAGAATCAATGATTTCACATGGAGTGTGGGATGGACATGAGTAATGGTCGTTGATCTGCCAAAAAGAAAGCTTTGTTTATCATCATATGTTCTTATTCTTCAGCTGATGGTGCAAAAATGTTGTTATTCTTCAAGAATGTGTCTAACTTCTTCTATTCTTATAGAATTTCTATTTTTTGTTTAAAAAGTGTTTGTATATTCTTAAAGAATAGATCAGAATATGTAACATTGTTTTAAATAAATTTAATTTAAAAATCAGATTGTGTAATGTTCATATTCTAATAAAATGTCATGTGGTTTGTGAACTTTTACCAATCATTCTTATGAAAATACCATTTTTGTCACATTGTAATTGATTAAAAACTCGGAATAAGAATCAAAATTGATTGAAAAATAACAATTTCTTACTTATTCTCACATAATATGTATTTTTACAAAAGGGTCTATGTAATTTTATTGAATATGTATTCTTAGAGAATACATCTCCCCTTATTTTTAAGAATACATATTCTTCAAGACTCATGTATACATAATTTTCAAGAATATATTATATATACACATAAATCTAATATTCTTTAATAATGATTATAGTAATCGTTTGTTTAAAATTTTGATGACTGTATACATTTAATTCGTGAGTTTTTTATAATTTATTTATTTTTTAAAAACATTAATTTAGATATTTAATTGTTTGATTTTTTGTAAATTAATTTGAGTTAGTTGACTAAAATATAAGTAATTGTACTTTCTCTTTCTTAATCAAATATCATAATTGCCTTATAATTAATTAACGATAATTATATTGTACATGTTATCCTATGTTAATATCGTGTACCCTAAAATACAATACATTCACATAGGTGCTGTTTGTTTTTCCGAAGTGAAACTGTTTGAAGTCTGTGGACCACCTCTGCAGCCCTCTGCAGTAGAAGAGGTGGACCAAAGTGCTGCAGACTGTAATGAGAAGCATGTTTGTTTTTTTAACGTCTGCAAACTGCTGCAGATATTAAAAAATTTAAAATAAATTAATTTAACAAATCAAAAATAGTTTGTTAATACCAAAAATTTAATAATTGTAGTCTTAAAACATTTAAATAAAATTCAAACACCGAAATTAGTCTTACAATAACATTTTTAAATAAAATTCATACAAACAAACTTTAATAATTTTATACCATATTTTGCATCAATTGTTCGGCAATTTCATCCCGTAACTGGCTCATATATTCACGGTCCGCTACAGTACCATGTGTTGCAATCTCATCTTCATCATTATCAACGATTGCATTGTTATTCCGAACCGAGACATTTGGTTCATCATATCGTGCAAAAAACTCATCATGTAGTCCCTCTCTTCTTATAAAATTATGAAGCGCAAAACATGCTAGGGTAATGTTTCGTTGTGTAACCAACGAGAATGGTGTCATCCTCTTCAATATAGGGAATCGTGCTTTCAAGACACCAAAAGCACGCTCAATGACATTCCGAAGTTTTGCGTGTCCATGGTTAAATTTTTCTTTATTCGTTAATGCACGTCTTCGACGGAAATCTCCAAGCCAATACCTAACATTACGGTACGGTGCCATAAAACCTCGAATATTTGCATAGGCGGCATCACAAAGATAATATTTATCTGTAAAACAAAAAAAAAGTCATTTATTTTTCAAATAAAGATAAAACTATTTAAATAACCATAAATTTACCTGGAGGTGGAAGCGGGAATGGTGCATGTGGATTTGCTAATGCTTCTGATAAAATTCTAGAATCGTGTGCTATCCCTTCCCAACTGGCAACAACAAACGTAAACATCATGTTGAAGTCACATATTTCCAATACATTTTGGTAACAATCGCCTTTTCCCCTACTTCTATATAAATCTCGTTTGTTTGTAAGGACAACAACATGTATCAAAGTGCCATCAAGTGCACCAACTGCTCCCTTGAACACCCGTCGTAGCCTCCTATTATGTCCCGGAATGTTTGGATTCTGATTAAAAGAAGTTGGTACTATAATGTCATGTGCGAAAAGCAACATTTTGTCCAACACTTCATGAAAAAACTTATGAATTGTTTGCTTTGAGTGTTGAAATCTCTGCTTGATAATCACATAACGTTGGTTATGACAGATCATCATCAAAAACATAGTCATTATCTCCTCAACCGACACATGTTTGCTATCCTTTAACGTGTAGTTTACTCTAACATTAGCACATAGCCGGACAAATGATTCACGAGACACGCGTAGCACTTCAAGACATTGCAGAGGATTATGGTGAAGTAACTCTAACGTAAATTCATGTCCCGTCATTTCCGAATCGTTGTCCCGCACTCGTTTGACACCCCTCTTCCAAAAGTAGCGGACATACAAGTACATAAGAATTATGAGTAGTATCTTTTTGTCGTGATCCATTACAAAACTATTAATCAAGAAAACATATAATAACATAAGATAATAATATAACATAAGATAACAACATAAGATAATAATAATAACATAAGATAATAATATAACATAAGATAATAACATAAATCTCAAGTACCAAAAAAACATAACATAAATTTCAAGTACCAAAAAACATATCATAAATCCCAAGTAGAAAATAACCAAATAACATTCAAGTACCAAATACTACAAATAACATTCAAGTAGCAAATAACCATATAGTTCCAAAACATGTAATTAAAACCTAAACAAGTAAAACATATAAACTTAACGAACAATATTTCCATCCTTTAAAACTCCTAAACTTGTAGTTGTCATCTCGATCCATCCTCTTAATATTTGTGGATCATTAGGCAAATTTACCCACATCTCTCTAATATTCATGGTCCCTCCAAAAATGTGATATGGAGCAAATCGTATAGGGTCTACTGAGTCTAACTCGAGCAACTCAAGCTTTTCTAAACATTGGGGAATTGTTGGCCCTTGAGTCAAATGGCGTAGAGCTTTTTGCATCTCCAGTGCTAAATCACCAGCAGTAATAGAAGCTTTAGGCGAGGCACAAAAAGGTGGATCAGGTGAGGCACTAGGAGCTCGAGGTCTAGGAGTTGAGGGTTTAGCCCTTTTGTTGAGGTTACCAGAAGGTGAAGCAACATAAGGTAAATCAGCAGAAGGCGGAGTCTAAGTAAAATGCTCACTAGTATGATTGGAAAATAAATCATCTTCATCTATGTTAATGGAAGGGGAGTCCAAAAGTTGTAGTGGTGCGCCATGGAAAGAAGATGATCCCGATGGTGTTTGGGATGTGGCATAGCCGAGATTACCAGATGCACTATTTCCATCAAAGAGTTCTGCACAAAGCTCTGGAAACAATAATGGGACGGTTTTCAAAGAAACGACTTTCGGATGTCCCTAAACGCAATCAATGTAACAAAAGTAATATAAGAATAAATGACAACTATATAAACAAAATACATATAAATATATGTGTGTGTCTATATATATATATATATATATATATATATATATATATATATATATATATATATATATATATATATATATGTATGTATGTATACCTTTTTAAAGTCCTCCCACTCCTCATTTGTTAAGTTAAAAGTATTTGTTTGTGGATTGTAAAGGTTTCCAGTTTTTTTTTTTTAAGTATAATCATCCTGTGTATTTAACTTTAAGGTTATCATAGGCGTTTTTTAATTGTCGTTGATTCAAATCCACACCATACTTTTTCCTTAATAGTTGTTCCTAACTTGTGCTATGATTGTTTGTGCAAACTCAAACCTTTTCTACCCACGGTTTGCACTTCTTCAATACAAGTTTGCAATAAGCATTTTTTTTGCTCATTGGTCCATGTATGTTTATCTCCCATTGCTAATAACAAATATATATATATATATATATATATATATATATATATATATATATATATTTATATATATATATATAATACATACTTTAGCTACAAAGATTAATCATATTTCAACATAATCTAAAAAATAAGTTTAGCATATTCAACAACAATACATCATGAATGAACAAAAAAAACCATATAAGCAAAAATTATACAACACAATCAACAAATAAGTTTAACAATTTAAGCACAAACTTGCATATAAACATAAACTTGATCTTTATTCAAGAAATACAAGTGATAACAATTCAATAATTAAGTTTAAAAAAATCATTTCAGCAAAGAGGTGGACCAATTCAACAAAGATTTATGATTTCAACATGTAATCTTGCATATAAGTTTATAATTTCAGCATAAATCAACATTTAACATTCAACAAATATAAATTTCAGCAGAAAATTTGTTTAAAGAACAATATATCATAAATTTTACATTCAACAAAGATTTTAACAAAGGTTGTAACATCTCAGCAACAAAATCCCAACTCAAATCAAACAATTGGTACTCAAATTCATACAATTGATACTCAAATGCATAAGAAATCAGAAAATGGGTACTCAAATTCATACAATAGGTACTCAAATGTATAAGAAATTATTAGAAATTTTTTTTTTAACCTGATCTTTGAAACCGATGGCAGCAAGAAATCAGAAAATTGGTCCTCAAATTCATACAATCGGTACTCAAATGCATAAGAAATCAGAGAATTTGCACTCAATTTCATACAATCGGTACTCAAATCAATAAGAAATCAAAAAAAAAAAAAAAAAAAAAAAAAAAAAAAAAAAAAACTTACTTGTTGAAGATTGAGGGCAGAACGATGGCAGCAGCAAGCAGCGATGGCGACGACGACTGAGGGAACGGCAACTGACGGACTGAGGGCAGCACCAAGCAACGACGGCGAGCCTGGAGTCGGACCAACTATGGATCGATTGTTGGGAAGGCTACCGAGAAGAAGGAGAACGAACGAGAAGGCAGCGACGTTTTTTTTTTTTTTTTTTTTGTTTAGGGCATAGGGTGTTTTTTTAGATGAGATTAGAAGTGGTTAGAAGAGTTAAGTCCACTGCTGTGTGGGGAAGAGGACGGGAAGAAATTTTTGAGCCCGAAGTCTGCAAAAAAACAAACTGTTGCGAACCTAAAAGTGTTGCGCGTGTGCTGCGCCACGTAGCACTAAGAGGTTAGAAGAGTTTTTTTTAAAAAAAAAACAAACACAACCATAGTATTTGTCATTCACATTTGATTTTATATATATATATATATATATATATATATATATATATATATATATATATATATATATATATATATATATATGGGTAAAGTGAATATACCTAACAACCTTATATAAGCTTAGGTACCTAACCATATTATACTACATTGTTTTGCATTATATTTCCATTGCAATCGTCTAAGGTTCTTAAACTTCAACCCTTAACTTGATTTACTTCCAAGATTTTCAGACATTCACCATTATATTCTTCCTACACCATTTGATTTGTAACGGTAGTATGTGAAGCCCACCTGGGGGTCTCCGATAGAAAGACATCATTTGAAGGAAGATAATGGTGAAAGTCCAAAGATTTTGGAAGCAATCAAGTTATGAGGTTGAATTTTAAGAACTTTGGGTGATTACAATGCAAATATGATAAAAAATTACGTAGTATGATGTGGTTAGGTACCTAAGCTTATATAAGGTTGTTAGGTATATTCATTTTACCCTATATATATCTTTACTACTTATAAAAAAAATCTAACTATTTCTATAAATAGATTGAATATAATAATATTATTTTTTAAAGATGTCCAAACTATTAAGCTTGAAGTACAATCCATTTATAATATAATAATATTAAAACTTTAACCATATCATTTATCCCTTAAAAATCTCGTATCAAATTAATAGAAGAATTCATTTGCAAATTGAACCCGTCAATCTCAACACTTCAACCATTTGAAGCGGTCAATGTCAACAATTTATAGAGGATCTCTTCTCTCACATTGGTAACAAACAATCTCATAACATCTATCTTCGTAATCCCTTCAAAGTAAGAAATATACGCACACTCTCTCGAAGAACCCTAACCAGTAACCAAGACAGTATAACCACCACCACCACAGCCGCTCTGCCTCCTTTCGCCTTCAATCAACCACTATCACGACTACCGTCCTTCCTCTCACCCACGACATGAACTTTCTTTTGGAACATAACATTTTTCTTTAAAAAAATATCGTTGAAAGAAACTATTTGTCCCCACCGCTATGCGCGGATAACGGCTAGTATATATATATATATAACATTAAAAAAAAAAATGGTTGGATTCCTCAATTTCCCAATATTTATTATTTATTTATTTTTTTCGACAAGACAGTGTAAAAGAAGGTGGATGAATGGTATTGGAAAAATCAAAAGGTAAAGTTGTACTTTCATTTTCATCTCTCCACTCCTCCAACTCTGCCTAAACGCTATCTTCCCTCGGTGTCACTTTCTCTCATTATCATCAAAGCTTTGATTTTTCTTCCTCTTCAGAACTCTCTGGTAGTCTCCCGTCTCACAGAATCGAAAAGTCTAAATTTTGATCTTTAATTCCAAGGAAGTTCTTAGGGTTATTGATCACAATATTTGGAATTTTTTTCTATTCCCATGGAGGTAAATTTACAATTAATTCCACACAAAAATCGGTTGGATCCATCTGCTATCTGTCGTTTATAAATTAATCTCTTAATTTACTTTCGTTTATCGACCATGTCATGATTTGGTATTGATAAAATCTTTAACCATAACTCTTTCTCTTCAAGGGTTTTCTTGTTTTGATATTTTTTTCATATGGGTATGTTCTATCTTTATCATATGAATTGTATATGATTGTTATTACCGATTATAATTGTCAACTGGCGATTAATTAGCCTAGAATTGAAGTTGGTGAAACTTAAAGGGTTTTAAAGATGTGATAAACTCGTATACAATTAAAAATTACTTTGGGGAAACTATGGATATTCGTTGCATGTCTTTTAATGTTAAATTAATGGTTTTTTCGTGGTTAATTAGGTTCCAGAAATTGAAGAAGGCGAAAACGCGACTCATCTAACTTCTCCTGCAGCTTTCGTAGAAGGAGGAATACAAGAAGCTTGTGAAGATTCTTGTAGCATTTGCCTCGAAGCTTTTTGTGATAGCGATCCGGGAACAGTAATAATATATTTATTCTTTCTATTTATATATCATCGTGTTTTCTTTCTTTAATTATAATTTATAACTTACAAATACACAATTCATGGTAATTTATATGTTTCCTATGTCGTAGGTGACAAGTTGCAAGCATGAATTCCACCTTCAATGCATTCTTGAATGGTATGACACTTCACACGATGACTTTTTTTTCTTGAATTATTTTCACTTTGCTATATTTTCTTGAATTTTACATGGAATTTCAAGAATTATAATCTATGCTCATAACTCATGAGCTAAATAAACCTTATGATACATTTTCTTTAATAGGTGTCAAAGAAGCTCTAATTGTCCAATGTGTTGGCAAGCCATTAGCCTAAAGGATCCTTTAAGGTGACCTAATCTTCTTTCAAATCAAGATTTCATATTTTGTGTTCTTATTTTTTACGCAATATGTGTAGTCAAGAATTATTGGAGGCAATAGAACAAGAAAGGCGAATCAGATTCAACCCCACAAGAAATTCAAACTCCACAATATTTCATCACCCAACACTCGGTGACTTTGAACTACAACATGTGTGTCATCTTTCTGGATTGTTTTTGCAATAAAAATTAAAACTTTTTTTTTTTGACACTTTTATTTCCATTTCTTCAGTTGCCAGTTGGTGTGAATGATAGCGAACTTGAGGATCGAATCATTCAACATCTGGCGGCTGCAGCCGCCATGGGCCGGGCCCGCCATGTGGGCCGGAGGGACGGGTCAAGAAACCGGTCAACGGGTCCGGGTCAGGGTCAGGGTCAGGGTCGACCCCAGTTCTTGGTTTTTTCCACTAGTCCCAATGCGGGCCCACCTGCCACCATGGCGGGCTCTGGTGGCCCGGTTGAAGAGTCTGAAGAACTTGGTGGGCCCGCTGTTATTGGGCCTGTTAGTGGATCGGGCCTGTTTACGGGTCGTGGAGGTGAAACATCTAGCATGACTAATGATTCAATTAGTCAAAGTCAACAAGGAACATCGGTTATTCATAGGTATTTATCGATTTTATTTTACAATTAAGTAATCTAATCAATGCTATAAGATCATAGATTGCTAATTTTGGCATCTTCTTCTTATTTTAATGTTTTCTATTTATAGAAACTCAAGCAATCTATCTTCTCCACCTAATCAAGATACAGCAGGGCCTTCAGAGTTGCAAACAGCTTCAGAGACATGGAAATCTAAATTCAATGCCATTTCAACAAGGTACAAATTGTTATAAATTATGACATGCATATATTATTAACCCAAATTCTATCTCTGAAATAAGTTTAATTTATGAAAAAAGATATAAAGAATCACTATCAAAAAGTACAAGAGGGTGGAAGGAGAGACTTTTCAACAAGAGTCCACCATCAATGTCAAATATTGGTTCAGAAGTAAGAAGAGAAATCAATGAAGGAATCGCAAACATAATTGAACGCCTTGAAGTCCATGAAAATAACAGAGAAGACCATAATGGTGTTGAAAGAAATCAAAGAATCAACTAGTGTGAGTTATGAGTTATGTGTCATTGTGTGTTTGACCTTTTTCTCACATGGTCAAACCGAAATTCTTATGTTCATGTCTCTTATGTTGCAGGTTGTCAAGAACACGTATGATAAAGAGCTAAATCACACCTCTAAAACTTTACTATCTGCTTGTAAATTTGTTGGTACTTTAATCTTTAGATTATCAAAGATTTGACATGTTTGAGATGTTTTGATGTATTCAACTTTTCTTATGAACTATATTTAACCATTAGTTTTGTCAGGCTGTACTGTTATAACAACAGTACACAGTACAGCCTGACAAAACTTTTGTGATCTTTGTGTGTGCTCATACGAGATTGGTTTTATAATTTCTGATATTATAAAACCTATATTATCAATTGGAGACGTGTACCTTATCCATGTTATGCCTCTTGCCTCAAATCTGGAAATAAAGGCAAAACATTTAGATGTGGCTTAAGGTTTAGGAGTATTTTCACATTTATTCATACATATGTTGAGATAAAACAGAGACAATTCGGGATAAAGGAAAACAATAAATATAAACAAGTACAAATGCGTAGTATTCTCAAGTGTAACCTTGTTTAATTGCAACCCAAAAGCCATTTGAACCAAGTCAAAATTTTACCAAACTTTATTTTTGAGGTAAAACAGATACAACAATATCGTTTGGTATTTTGAACATTCTTTTGAAATTAGAGAGTTCTTTTTTAATTGTAGTTACGGGTCTTCCAACCATCACCTACTAACTGCAACTTCACAGGGGTATAATGGTACAAATGCTCTTTGTGAATACAAATAACTTTTACTTGGAACTATTCTTTATGAATACAACCAACTGTTTTCTAACACCACAACGCTTCATATATACAACTAACTCTTACCTACCATTATATATATATATATATATATATATATGTGTGTGTGTGTGTGTGTGTGTGTGTGTGTGTGTGTGTGTGTGTGTGTGTGTGTATACCCCATCAATCTTCATACAAAATTTAATTAACTCAAAAGCTTAATGTAACACCCTGTTTTGAATCATTTCGTAATTCAGGGCTCTGACCCGAAGATCAGTTATCATAAAGCTTCGGGCCTTGGGGAAAGAGAAATTTAGACCTTCTTTGAATGTGGGTAATGTAGATTAGGTGATCCGAGAGTTTAAGTAGTGTTTTGGAGCCCGATGGTATAACCGTAAAGTGATAATTCAGGCCTTTTATGAATTTTGGATTTACGTTTGGTAAGTTTTAACGCAAAAGAGCGTTGAAAAGGTTGTAGAGATTCTCAACACCTTTACATGGATATAAAGATTGTCGAAATCAAAGTTGAAACGAAGAAGTTATGACCGTTTGAAGTTAGGGCGGTTTTGGGTTGAGCAGGGTACACTGAGCGTACTCAACGTGTATGATGGGCGTACTAGGGCATCTCTAGTACGCTAGGCGTAAGTTGAGTACGTTCGGCGTACGTGACTAATGCCCAAACCCTATTTTCATGGTTTGAGCCCTATTTAAGCTCCTTAACTCCCTCAAACCCCTTCCATTCTCAGCCTCCACCTCTCCAACACCCTCTCTTAAAACCTAACCCTAGATTGAGCCTTGTAATAAAAAAGAAGGTGTTTTTAAGTGCTTTGGAATGTTCTTGGTGCACCTTGGAAAAGAAAGAACTCATCGAAGAAGTGTTGGTTGTATTAGAGCTTGTAGATCCAGATTTTGTTTGTCTTGATCTTTCTTCTAGAGGTATAAAGTTTGAATCTTGATGATAAAATTGTTAGATCTAGCAAGTTTTGGGTGTTATGAGCTTTTGATCACTTTAAGTACATAAATTTTAGATCATGATATTTATGAACTTGTTATGGATAAAGTTGGAAACTTTATCTATCTAAAACATCATTTTGATTCAAATTTAAAGGTCGGAGACTTGGACTTAATGGATTAAGTTGAAAAAGATGCACTTTTGGGTCCCTTTGAGACTTAAAGAATAGATATTGTTTTGGGGACCATTCTAATAGACAAAGTTGGAAACCTTATCCATTATGGAGTTATTATGAACCATTAAAATGTGATCTTGACCTTTCTATCCCTTCCATACAAGAGTTGTGATGTCTTATTGGGTTAAGAACTTAGAGTTATGGATATTAAGCACTTTATAGCCATGCAAAGTCATAAAGTTAGAAACTTTATGACTTAGGGCATCATTTTGGGCTTGGATTTGAGTTTTGGAGGTAAGGGATTAATGGAATAAGCTCTTAATGGAGTTTTTGGGACTGGGCTACATACGTTGGGCGTACTTGGTGGTACGTTACGCGTGCACGGCCAGTGCTCCGCTTTTGGTCAACATCAGAGTACGTAGGGCATACTCTGTTGGGAAGAAATATTGACTTTTGGGCCTTGACTGTTGACCATGACTTTGATCGGGGGTGACCAAGTTTGACCTAAGGGCATTTTGGGTAATTTGATTTATAGTTTGAGATTTGGGTTCTTGTTAATTGTATAGGTGACCGATAGAGATAGATTTTAGAGCAGTGATCGGTGCAACTATTCTTTCAGACTGTAAGGTGGGTCTCTTCACTATACTCGTAGGTCGAATGCACCAATGTCGGCCTACTGGATTACGTTTTTAGGATGATGGTTGTCTTTGTGACACTTATTGATATGTTTGTATGTACTTGTTTTCTTTGTGACTCATGCTTATATGCTCATATGATTTATGTATTGATTTATATGGGCTCGGAGTCATTTCAGACTCGGGGTTGATACGGACCCGACACATCTACAAATTGATATATAGAGTCATTATGGACTCTGGGTTGATATGGACCCGACACAATCATGTGCTACTATATTTGTATATATATGTGATATGCGGTATTTTGGGGAACTCACTAAGCTTTGTGTTTACGATTTCATATTTATGGTGTTGGGTACTTTCAGTTCAAAAGGGAATGGCCCGGCGGGACAGCACAACATCCCCTAGAGTTTTCCGCATTGGCAATTCATGATATTACTCTGATGTTTAAATAATATATTCACTTTGATCGGTTTTGGAACAACTCGTCATATGATTATTTGTTTTAAAAATGAAAAGTTTAGTTTGGATTTTTGGGACGTTACAAGTTGGTATCAGAGCCTTGGTTAGACAGATTCAGTCACACTCTCAGATATGTTTGAACTCAAACTGAGGAATTGGTAACCTTTTGAATGAAAATAAGTTTCTAAAAAGATTTTTTTTAAAGAAAATAAGTTTTTGAAAAGATTTTTATAAAGAAAAAGGAGGTGTGATGCATGCAATCAGCCGAGCTCAAGTAAGTGATTCCCATATACTCATACATATTGATATGATAAATTATATTAATGCTTTAATGCTAGGATGAGGCTATGGATACTTTCAGGAACTGCATGATAGATTGGTCTGATATGTGATGCCTTGCAGCCTAGGAGAATTTATTGCTAAGTGTATGCTTTAGAAATTCTATACGATTAGGATCATATAGCCCATAGAATGATTAATTTGACATTATTTCATGTTCCGCGTTTGGTTGTGGTCTCAGGGTAGAGTCTTTTATTTGACAGTCTATTTGATCCTTTATTGTGGATAATTTGCATGCATAAGGCAACCGAAAGTAAGATTGGAAGTTTCTAGCATAGTTAGTAGTAAGTGAGCTTGGGGATGTCCTTTTTGTTCTGTGGCTTGGAGTGTTACTGCACGGATGTTGCTTGCTTTGTGCTTTGTAGAACTCTTAGTGATGTGAGTTAAATATTAAGTGAATATGTCAAGTTACATGTAACGCCCGGTTCCTAATTATGTATTTAATTCAAAATTTTATTCACTTGTGTATAGAAACTCGACGAGTTGGAGGCCCCAAACTCGTCGAATAGGAATGTCATTGGACGCAGGTTGTGAAGTCTACTTGACGAGTTGAGAGACTCAACTTGACGAGTAGGACTGGCAGAATGAAACCCTAAAAATAACATCATCAAGATGAAAAATGTATGACCAACCATACCCCGATTCCCTATCTTCACTTCATGAATCATATTATCAACAATAACGTCATATATATATATATATATATATATATATATATATATATATATATATATATATATATATATATATAGCAACATAAAGAGCTTCCATGACTATAATGAATAGGAAATGTGAAAGAGAGTCATTATGATGTAAACCCTTCTTTAATTGAAATTCTTAAGTAAGGCTCCGATTTAGTAAAATATAACCCCTAGAAGAGGAAAAACAAATATATAGTCTACTTCACTTAATCCCAATTCAACGGGTCATAAGAATTTTAAAGTCTATCTTCAATCGTAACATCCTTTTCTTTTTTATGCTAAACCAATCTACTAGCTCATTCACAATAAGGGGCCCAAAAAGAATCGGACACCCCTTTACAAAAGCTTAATGCTCCTGACTAATGACATTGTCCATTACTGTAGCTAAGGTTGTTAATCGGGTTTCGAGTTGAACGGGTCGGGTTAGTCGGGTTTTCTAGAAAAAATATTCACCTGAAACCCGACCCTAGTAAGGTACGAGTTAATCGGGTCAGTAAGGTCGGGTTAATCGGGTTAGTCGGGTTGAGGTTGAAATTTATGTTGTGCCATTTTAATACATAATCCACATGTACAGGTACTTAAAATGTAAAGTTGGTATACAATATGTATTTTTGGAGTTTCTTTTACCATATTAGTAATGTAAACAACGAATAAAATTAGTAAAACTGTTACAACACAACCGTACTGCATTAAGAGGAGATGAAAGTTATACCATTTTATACATCTCTATATATAGTAATTTTACTCTCTTGTTTGTTTAAATAAGAAATATGTATTAGTTGTAAAATCTCATGGGATCTTGAATTCATGTCATTCAACGCAGTAAAAAAAGTTTTGGTAATAAATTCTTAATCGGGTTGACCCAAAACCCGAAAATTGTTTTGAAAAAATTAATCCTAAACCCAACCCTAATAATAATTCGGGTTAGTCGGGTTAACCCGAATAACCCGGTTAAGAGTTCTGACCCTATTAAACCCGACCCTAATTACCTTATTCGGGTTCGGGTTGTTTCAGGTTAATCGGGTTCGGATTTTTTTGACACCTCTAACTGTAGCAAGTCTACTGGCCAACAACTTAACAATGATCTTATTATTAGACCAAATCAAGATAATAAGCGTAATCTCTATAACCACCATCAGACTTGACACCTTTGGAATAAGTTTCAGAAAAGAAGCATAGGACCTCGTAGGAATAACAATTTGACTGTAAAATTCATTGACAAAACTCAGATAATACT